TAAAGAGGCAGCATCAAAAGGGCTTGGCAACTGATAGAATATGAAAAGTGAGAGAAGAGGAAGTGTCAAGTTAACTCTGAGAAGAAGCCAGTTTTGGGGAAAAGATAAATTCAGGTTTGTACATGTTGGGTTTGAACTATAGGTCTATCTGTAATATAGATGTACTGTAGGGAGTTAGAGACGCAAGTCTGGAGCTTTCAAACGAAATATAATTTTGAGGATCATCTGAGTAGAGGTGATAACTGAAGTTGTGGGAGTAAGACAACCAAGGAAAATGACGTAGAAAAGAAAAATTAGAAGAATTTTGGAATATACAACATTCAGAGGTCAGGAAGAGGATTAGGATACAAAAAGAATGATTAAATCTTACTATCAACCACAAGTGTTACATTTCCATGATCAAGAACTGATCAAAATCTCCTTGTTCCACCTCTCCCTATGAATTATTCCTCTTTAATTTAATCTTTTTCCTCACCATGGCCTCCAATTTTTCCACCTTTAGTATTTTCTCAGGCTGTCATCCCTGTTCTTTACTACCTTCCCTTTCTGGTCTTGACCTCTTTGCGAACCAGTTCTACTCAACACTGTTCTCCATTCTTGAATCCCTTACTTTCTTGTCCTATAGCCAAACTGCAAATACGGGTTATTCCTACCATCCACTCCTTTTGCTCTTACACACATTTTGTTGAATGGAGATGGAAGAAGTCACACAATCTTGCTGACTGGGTCCACTATAATTCATGTCATCTAATTTCAATCTGACTTTCACAATACCAAAGCGATCCTTTTCTTCTCCCCTAATTTGATATTTTATCTTACTCACCACACATGCCATTCTAAATCTTGTCTTCTTTCTTTTTTTCCTCTTTTTTAAGGTAATTGGGGTTAAGTGACTTGCCCAGCATCACACAGCTAGTGTCAAGTATTTGGTCTGAGGCCAAATTTGAACTCAGGTCCTCCTGACTTCAGGGCTGGTGCCCTATCTACTGCACCACTGAGCTGTCCCCTTGTCTTCTTTCCTTAAGCCTCTCACACCACCCCCTCCCTTCACCTTCTCAATTTCATACTTTGTCTTATACTTCATCAAGGAAATTGAGGTTATTTGTTGTGAGTTCCTTCTTCTTTTCAACTGATAACCTACTGAAATTATCTCCCACTATATTCTCCTTTACTCCAGCTGCTGATAATGAAGCTGCCCTTTTCCTTTCCAAGGACAACTTCTCATCCCCTGCCCTTTTCTCTAGCACATTCTCCCTGCTATCATCCCCTCTTCCTAAAGTTCGATATCTCACTATAAACTGGTTCCATTTCTGCTTTTTTAAAACTCAACCCGGTGTCTCTTGTTTTGAGAAGATTTCTCATTAGATCCTACTATCTCTGCTACCTATTGTTATCTATCTCTCTTCCTTTTCTCAGCCGAACTCCTAGAACAAATCATCTTCAGTGATGGGGAACCCGCGCCCTTGAGGCCATAAGTGGCCCTCTAGGTCCTCAAAGGCAGACCTTTGACTGAATCTAAACTTCACAGAACAAATCCCCTTAATAAAAGGATTTACTCAGTAAAACTTGTAGTCATTCAAAAGGCTGCACCCAAGGACCTAGAAGACCACACGTTTCCCACCCCTGAATTCTACATTATCTCCACTTTTCTCACTTTCTTGTACAAACTGGCTTCTCATCTTATCTCTCAAGTGAAACTACTCTTCCAAGTTACCAGTATTCTCTTAATTGCTAAATGTAATGGCCTTTTCCCAGTCTACATCCTTTGCAGCATTTGATTCTATTGGGGACCTCTCCCCCATTTTGTTTTTCCCCTAGCATATAGCACTTTGCTTCACATATAACACTTGCTAAATGTTCATAGAGTTGAATTGGATTAAATTCTCCAGTACAACTAAACTTTATGTTTGGATATAGTTGAAGACTTAGTTGGCTACCATCTGAAATGGCATCTTTACTATTTTTTTTTCGGGAAGCTTTCTGCTAATTTTATGATGCTCTAATATATACGGTAAAGGTATAGACAAGGGCTTCTTTATGTAGGTGAGTAGCACTCTTAATTCTTATCAACAAAAGGAATTGGTAGCAGAAGTAAAAGCTGTGAAAACCTCAGGGAAAAGGCACTAGTGTATCCTTGAATTCAAGATAGAGAAGAAGGCTGCACACTGTCTGACATACCATAGAATTAGGGAGAAGAGAATTCAGAGGGTTTAGTGAAAGGTAAGGTAGGTTTCTGTGAGTGAAAATTTTATAAGGGAAGCTGACCCAAAAGAGATAAGAAACTGTTAAGAATAAAATTCTTAAAATGCAAACAATTATGATGAAGAAAAGGAGAAGCTGTATAAAGAGACCAATGTGGAAGCAAAGGGAAGTTGGTGACCTTCTTAGATTAAAAAAAAAAACCAACAACCAACATTTATAGAAGTTGGCCTTTTCTGCTTAGCAGTAATCACAGAGTGACAGAAAAGAGAACAGAGGATCTAATAATTATCCTGTCTTTGACCATCTATCAGCATGAACTTATTATTGGCAAGAGCCTTGTCCAGTGACCAATAAATGGATATACCATTGGAAAGAAGGAATCATACAAATTTGGGTATTCTTGCTAGAAATGAAACAACAAAAACATTAATAACAATAACTACCATTTATATAGCACCTTTTATGAGCTAGGCTACGCTGTGCTTTACAAATATCTCATTTGTTCCTCACAACAATCCTGGAAGGTAGATGCTATTATTATCCCTATTTTACAATTGAGGAAACTGAGGTTAAGTGACTTGCCCAAGATAACAAGTAAATGTAAGGTAAGTAAAGAGATCAATAGAGTTGATTACATGTGTCCATAAAGGGTGACAAGAAACATCACTTCAAGTGATATCTGGTAATCTTTTATTGAAGTGCTGCATTTGCAAAAAGATTTCCATGAAAATAAGTGTGCCTAATACACCTGCGTTCATTGCAGTGGATGAAGAGACGGAACAGTTCTACAAAGAACTCAACAGGACCATGAAAATGAAATCAACATATACTTTGATCCTACATGACTCTAATATACAGGTGAACATAAGGAATGAAGAAAAATATTTTGCAAAATATTCAGAAGAAAGGAGAGGGGCTTGTAGAAAATAGAAGTCTGATATTTATATATCAAAAATTGTTAACCTTTTAAAATTTCAATTTTCTTTTTTATTAAGTATCTTAAAAACATCAATATGAAAATTCTAATAGATAAAGAACAGAAAAAGATTTATATGAAACTGAATTTATATAGTTACAATTTTATATGTATAAGTAGTGCCTTGTACAGACACTGCCCTGCTTGTCTGTGTCCCATTTTTTAAAAGAAAGGATACTAATTTGTGCAAATCAACAGCAAAACAGAAATCAGAGCAAGTGTGCATAAAAGAATAGCTACCAGACAGTAAATAATGAATGTGTTCTCCCATTGGGAATTCTCAGCTGAACCAAGAGAGGGTCCTGTTCTCTTTTGTGTACTTTCAAGCTTTCAATGACAAGTTTTTCTTTCTTTTCTTTTTGGCATCATCACTACCCATCAAATTTTACAGTTCATCACTCCTCCCATCCTGCCAAAAAGAAGCAGGACCTTGATACAAATTAAATATAGTCATGTAAAATACAACCCCCCCACAACTAGCTATATGATCACTGCTTTGTAGAATGGATTAAGGTCTGTTATTGACAGTTCTTTTACAGTTAGATCTATTTCCTTTTCTGAAACTCTTATATGAGATCTCTATCTAGTCTTCTGATAGTTTGGGTATTAGCTTTGAAGGTATTCCTCTAATTCTTTTGTATTCTCAGTTTTGCTAGCATGAAACCATGTAGAATATGTTCTGATTTTTCTTTTTGTTTCTTCTGGTTTTGTTGTGATTTCACCTTGCTTGTTTGCTATTTTATTGATTTGATTTTTTCCGCCCTCTCCTTTTTGGTCTGATTAGCTAAAGTTGTATCAATTTTATTTGTCTTTTTGAAAAAAATAACACAAGATCTTAGTTTTATTCATTATTTCTAATTTTTTGTTTCCTATTTATCCTTTAATTTTTAATATCTTCTTTTTGAGTTTATTTGTTGGCTTTCTGGGGTTTTTTTAATGCATATTCATTTTAACAATCATCTCTTTTTTTTTTGTTAATGTATGTTTGTTGATATATGATTTGCCCCCTTAAGATTGCTTTAGCTGTATTCCAGAAATTGTGTTGTTTTTTCAATATAATTTTTTAACAAAATTATTAGCTGTTTCTGTGACTGGTTCTCTAATTCACTCATTACTTAGTATCTTATTGTTAAGAATTCATTTGGATCTGTACCTTTTGTTTCTGGTCTCCAAACCAATGAATGACTATTTTTATTATATTATGGTCTATAAAAGATGTATTATTTATTTCTGCCTTTTTACATTTGTTTGCAATATTGTTGTGCCCTAATGGTCAATTTTTGTAAAAGTTTTGTGTGATATTAAGAAATATGTATATTCTTTTGTAGTCCCTCTTAAATGATGTCACAAGTCTTTAGCTTTAGTTTCTCCAACAATTTATTCAGTTCCAGATTTTCCCTTTTTTTTAATCTATTTTTCTACTATACTTTTCCAAAAGTCTCTTGTTACTATTGTGTTACTTTCTATATCTTCTTGTAGAACAGTTAATGTTTCCTTTATGAATTTGGATGCTAAGGCATTGCGAACATAAAAGTTTGTTACTGATAATGGCTTGGTGTCCAAAGTTCCTTTCAGCCTAAGGTAGTTTCCCTTTTTATCTCCTTTTATTTTCTGATGTTTGCTTTTGCTTTGTCAAATAGCATGATTACAACTCCTGATGTTTTAGATTTTTAGATTTACTTAATGCATAGTATATATATGTATTTTTCCATGTCCTCAATTGTGTGTGTGTGTGTGTGTGTGTGTATGTGTGTGCATGTACTCTTTTTCATTTCATTGGATTGTTTAATCCATTTGCTTTTAAAATTATGACTTAGGTTTATATTTTCCTTCATTTGTCTCTAATATTTTTTTCAAGTTGTGATTCCCCTTCCCCCCTTTTGCTATAAACACAGTACTATGTCTCTTCAGTTGTTTTTAGCTTAATCTTTCTTAAGGTAGCTAATTTTCTGCTAGCTTTCTTCCCCTCACCCTCAGTGTATGTTCCCATTTGTAATCCCTTTCCTTTTGGAATTCTGCTTATTAATTCCTTTTTATTTCCTGCTTTTATCTGGCTATTTAATTCCTCCCCTTTTTTAAACTCCCAGTCAAGCAAATTCTTCCTTTCTTCCCCTTCAACTAGTCTTGTTTGTTGGGTTTTTAAAAATTCATGATTTTTTTTTTTGCATCACCATCACTTTCCAGAGAGGATTTCTCTTGCTCATTGCTTTATCCATTTTCTCTTTCTGTTTAGACTCTCATTCTCTGATTTATGATCCCTGTAATTACCTAGTTCCTCTCTATTCTCTGTATTACTCATGGAATAAAAACTTCCAAGTTATCCACTTTGAGCTCTCCCCTCTATGTGGTTTCTGCCACTTCCTTGTAGATCTTGTCCAGTGGATTCCCCTTTTCCTCATTCCCAGAATAAGTTCAATTTCTGCAGGTGACAAAGAGGATGATGCCCCATGGTAGGACCCTCCTCACTTCCATGTCCATCATTATGCAGCCCACCAAAGATCTATGCCCTCTTCCTGGATACCTTCTTTCCCCATTTGCCTCAAAATTTCCTCTCTGGATCCATGCCCCATCTCAGGTACCAGCTGCCCCTAGGAGTTCCAACTTCCCCACCCTCAAGGTAGGACAAGTGGTCTTTTCAAGCACCAAATTGCCCCAGCAACCCCCATCACAAGTTACCCTCATCCCTTCCCACAACATCTCTCTTCATCCTTAGAAGGAACCACCTCCTTTTACCAAAACAAGGTCTTCTTTTTCCTCCCCTTTTCAAACCTTCTCCCTTTCTCTTCAGCTACTTACCTACAGGCTCTTCTCTTTCTTAGAGACCACAGGAGTCACCTTCCCCTCATTGTTAGCCCTCGATTTGACCTGGGCACATCACATACTTTCTTCTATCCCCCACCTCCTTCATTTACTCTTCCATTTTGTAATGTAATTCTCCTCCCCCTCCCCCAATTATGTACCTGTAGGCAGGGTACTGTAAAGTTCTGTCTCTATAATGCTCCAGGCTGCCTCTCCAGTGTAACCTCCACTCCTTCCACTCCTGTCTCCTTGTGTACTTTTAGGAAGAAGTATCTTATTGGTATTTCTGCTGTCACTCTGTTGTTGCTATCCTTGGCTGCTGTATTCATTCATCCCTCTTGCATCTTTGTTGTCTGGGGGAGTTCAAAAAGCAATTGTTCTCTTCAGGTCTGTTTTCTTTTTAAGAATGTTTCAAATGCCTCTTTATTATTGAATGTCTACATTTTTTCATTTATGGTTAAGCTCAGATGGGGCAGTTCACCCACCCTAGACTGCATCCTGAGCAACACTGCTCTTTGGAACACATTATTATATCCCCTCCTGAATTTTATGGTGGGTGAAGAAAATCTTGTGTTATTCAAATTTCCTTTCCTTTGCATTTGAAGGTCTTTCTCTTGGTCACTTGAAGAACTTGTTTCTGAACTTTATTATTGAATTTAACTTCTACGTGTCTTGGAGTTTGCAACTTTGGGCTTTTTTTTTCCTTTCTGGAAGTGATATATGAATTCTTTCAATTGGTACTACATTTTCTGTATTCAGAAGATATGGGAAGAATCCTTGCATTATTTCTTGCATTGTGACATTCAAATTTCTTGACTTGGTTCTTCTAGGAGATTTGTAATCCTTAGGTAACTTATACAATTTAAGCGACTAAAAAATGTCCCTACTTTGTGACTAAGAGGTTTCACTACTAGGCACATAGGCCAAAACAAGTCATTGGTAAGAACAAAGTTCCCAAACACATCAAAATAGAGCAGCATCTTTTGTGGTAGCAAAGAACTGGAAATAAATATATTCATCAACTGGGGAATGACTAAACAAATTGTGGTATATGAATGTAACAGAATATTACTTTGTAATAAGAAACGATGAATATGATGAATAAAGAGAAACACAGATATGGTGAAAGCAGAGCCAAGAAAACATATATGTAATGATTACAAGAATGTAAACAGAGAGAAACATTAAACAAATTGCAAGTTGAAAAATTAAAAGATAAAGCATGCTTTGAAAGAAGAAATAAGAGAATATAACCACAAAAGCAGAAGACTAGATAGTCTAAGCACTTTATATAGTGCCTGGCACATGGTCAGGACTTAACAAACGCTCATTTATTGGTTGATTATAATGAAACATTTGATTTGATAGAGATGATCTATATATTTGGCCCTAGTTTCTCTCCTAAGTGCCAGACTTGCATCACCAACTTCCTATTAGACATTCAAACTGGACACCCTGTAGGCATCTCAAATGTGTGAAACTGAACCTCATTATCTACCTTCCCCTAAAACCCACTCCTCTCCAGAATTTCTATATTACTTATGAAGGCATCACCATTTTTCTCATTATTAAGGTTTGCAACTGTAGTTTTATCTTTGATTCTTCCTCAGTCCATAGTTCTAATTAGTTTCCAATTCTCATCATTTCTATGTCTACAACATCTTTCAAATCCATTATCTTCTCCCCAACCACATGACTACTACTTTTGTCCTGACCCCCATCACTTCTCACTTGGACTAATAAAATAGCCTTTTAAATGGCCTTTACAACCTAAGTCTCTTCCCATTTCATATAGCAGCCAAAATTATTTTTCCTACAGTGTGAGTCTCTCAAAATCACTCCCCTACTGGCTCTTCATCACCTCTAGGATGATATATAAACTCTTCCTTTTGGCATTTACATTCCTTCACAACTTGGCCCTAATTTACCTGTCTAGCCTTATTATATACTACTCTCATTCATGAACTCTACAATGCAATTATTCTGGCCTTTTTACTGTTCCTTAAACATGAAAACTATTTTCCATTCTCTACCTTTTCCCCCACCCTTCCCTTATGCCTGGAACGCACTCCCTCCTCACCTCTTCCTCTTGGGATTCCTAGTTTCCTTCAAGACTTGGTTAAAATGCCATCTTCTACAATGAAGTCTTCCCTGATTACTCTCAGCTAATAAATAGTACTTCCCTTAAAAATGGCCTTTTATCTATTTTCGCATGGAATCTTCCTCAACAGAATGCAAGTTCCTTGAGGGCATGGACCACTTCACATTGATACTGAATCACGATTGCCTATCGCCATGCTTGGCATATGGTAGGAACTTAATAAATTTTTGTTTGTTATGACAGGCCTGCAAAAGACATATGCTCCATTTACTGTGGTGGGTCATTGTATTGATCAAAGTTATTAAATTTTTCAAAATTTATTAGCTTTAGAATATTGCTGTTACTATGAAGATTGTTCTTCTGGCTCTACTTACCTCACATCATCACACTGTTCACATAGATCTTCCCAGAGTTTTGTGAAACTATCCCCGTTATTATTTCTTATAGCATAATGATATTTCATCACATTCATGTACCATAACTTATTAAGCCATTCTCTAATTGATGGATTCCCTCAGATTATGATTCCTTGATATCACAAAAAAGATCTGCTATAAATATTTTTGTACATATGGATCCTTTTCCTCTTTCTCTGATCTCTTTGGGGGTAGGGCTGGGTCAAAGAGTACATGCCATTTAATAGCCTTTTGGACATAGCTCTAAATTGCTTTCCAGAATGATTGGATCAGCTCACAGCTCCACCAGCAGTGTTTTGTGTACCTATTTTCCCATATTCCCTTCACTATTTCCTATTTTCCTTTTTTTTTTTGTGATTTTAGCCAATCTGATGGATATGAGGTAGTCCCTCAGAATGGTTTCAATTGACATTTTTCATATGGCTGTTGATAGCTTTGAATTCTTTCTCTGAAAGCTATCGTGACCATTTATCAACTGAGGAATGGCTCTTATTCTTGCAAATTTACTTTAATTCACTATATATTTTAGGAATCACATCTTTATCAGAAAAACTTGCTACAAATATTTTTTTCTCAGTTTCTTACTTGTCTTCTAATTCTAGCTATATTGGGGTTTATGTGCATAATCTTTAATTTTATATGATCAAAACTAACCATTTTATTTCCCATGAGCCTCTCTGTCTCTTGCATGGTCATGAACTCTTCCTCGATCCAAAATCTGACAGGTAATTTCTTCCTTGACCACTAATTTGCTTATGGTATTGCCTTTTATGTCTAAATTATGCACCTATTTTGAGCTTATCTCGGTATATGATGTAGGATGTTGGTCTATGCCTGGTTTCTACAGAATACTTTAGAGTTTTCACAAGTTTTTATTAGCTAGTCAATTCTTGCCCCATTAGATGGGATCTTCTTCAAGGTTTATCAAGCATTAAGTAACTGTATACTTTTTATTCTATATATTGTATATGTAACATGTTCCATTGATCAACCTCTATTTCTTACCCATTGCCAAACAGTTTTGATGATTATAGCTATGTATAGCTTGAGATCTGATACTGGCTAGGCCACCTTCCTTCCCATTAAAAAAAAATTCCTTTAATTTAACATTTTGTTCTCCAGATGAATTTTATTACTTTTTCCAGCACTATAAAGTAATTAGTTGTAGTATTATTGATATGGTTCCGAATAAATGAATTTTGGTAGAATTTTCATTTTTATTGTATTGGCTTGGCCTACCCACAAAACAATTAATATTGCTCCAATTACTTAGAACTGTCTTTATTTATGTGAAGTGTTTTGTAATTGGGTGCATATATAGTTCATATGCATGTTCTGGTAGGTAGACTCCTGAGTATTTTATGTCGGGTGTAGTTATTTTTCTTTTCTTTCTTTTTTTTTTTTAGGCAATTGGGGTTAAGTGACTTGCCCAGGGTCACACAGCTAGTAAGTGTCAAGTGTTTGGTCTCAGGCCGGATTTGAACTCAGGTCTTCCTGTCTTCAGGGCCGATGCTTTATCCACTGTGCCACCTAGCTGCTTCATGTGTAGTTATTTTAAATGGAATTTCTCTTTCTCTCTCTTCCTGCTGGATTTTGTTGGTAATATGCAGAAATGCTGATTTCTTATGTGGATGTATTTTATAACTTGCAAAGATCTGCTGAAGTTGTTAATTGCTTGGATTAGTTTTTAGTTGACTCTCTAGATTGTTCTAGATAAAACATCATGCCATCTACAAAAAGTGATTTCCTATGCTAACCCTTCAATTTCTTTTTGTTTTACTGCTATAGCTAGCATTTATAATACAATACTGAATAATAATAGTAATAATGGATGTCCTTGCTTCTTATCTGATCTTACTGAGAAGGCTTTAACTTATCCTTATGACAGATAATGCTTACTCTTCCATTTTTAAGGAAAGCTTCATTTATTTCCATGCTTTCTAGTGCTTTCCTACAGGAATGAGCGTTGTATTGTCAAAAGCTTTTTTCTGAATCTATTGAAATAATCATATAAATTTTTTGTTGGTTTTGTGGTTAATGGGGTCAGTTATGCCTATAGTTTTCCTAATACTGAACCAGCCCAATATTCCTGGTATAAATCCAGTCTGGTCATAGTGTATGATCTTTGGGATACATTGCGAGAATCTCCTTACTAATATTTTATTTATTTTTTTGCATCAATATTCATTAAGGAAATAGGTCTATAATCTCTGTTTTGATTCTCCCTGGTTTAGGTATCAATATCATATTTGTGTAGTAAAAGTAATTTGACAGGACTCCTTTTAGCTTTTTTTTTTAGTTTGTGTACTATTAAAATTAATTGCTCTTTAAATATTTAGTAGATTTCACTTAGAAATCCATCTGGACCTGGGTATTATTTTATTTTTAGGGAGCTCACGTGTGCCCTGTTCAATTTCTTTATCTAAGTTAAGTTTACTTAAGTATTCTATTTCCTATTATGCTAATCTATGAAATTTATATTTTTGTAAATATTCTTCCATTTCATTTAGATTGTCAGTTTTATTGGCATATAATTGGACGTTGTCAGTTTTATTGGCATATAATTGGACAAAAAAGTTCCTAATATTTGCTTTTATTAACTATTCATTGGTTGTGAATTCACCTTTTCCATTTTTGGCACTGGCAATTTGGCTTTCTTCTTTCCCTTTTAAAATGAAATTAGCCAAGAGTTTCTCTATTTTTATTATCTTTTCTTAATCTCTTAGTTTTATTTATTAGTTTGTTGGTTCTTTTACTTTCAGTTTTGTCAGTCTCTTCTTTGATTTTCAGGACTCTAATTTTTGGTGTTTGTTGTTGTTTTTTTTAATTTATTGGT